ATACAGAGTACTCCGGACTTCAGGCTTGTGATGCGGTTTACAGGTAGACAGACCAGCTTTCAGAAAACGAGAAGTATGGACTCCAGGTTTGTGATGCGGTTTACCGTCTCTAGACCAGCTTTCAGCAAACCAGAAGTATTTTTACATACAAAAACAACAGCATTTATATCCATATTTTGGGGCGGAGATGGGTCGACTCTTCCTTCCCATTTTACTCCGAAGCGAATCAAAGAGTCCGTGGGGAGGAGCTGTGTGAGCTGCTCACTCCCCCAGGTGTCCTTACTGGTTGGATCCACCTCTGGTCGGGTTCAATACAGCGAATCAGAGTTCTGACCAGAACGTGAGATTCTAAGTTTCCACAAGGTCAAAGTCAATCTTATCTCTGCACCGGTATTCACTCCCTTATTTTCCCATGGAATATTTCACATAAACTGTTACTCTCAGACAATTAAACATTGTACATAGATATAATGAGCCCAGAAAGAACATACTGATACCCAGAAAGAACCTTGAAAAGAACATGTGTGTGCGCTCTGGTGAAAAGGAGCTGTGTGTGTGGGTGAAACAGGATCTCTGTGTCAGTGAGTTGTAAGTGAGAATATAATCTCTATATATGTGATTACTTAAAACAGTTCAAACAATACATGTTTACTTCAATACAGTTTAGAATCATATCTTTTTACTTCACTCTGTATGCAAAACTCACACCCTACAAAGAACAAATGGGATATGCAAATGACGCCTTCTCGTAAATTCCTTCCCCTCATCCTGTCTTCCTGTGGTTGTCATAAAACCCCCTTCTCCAAACACATCTGTTTTACACATACATTTAAAGGTCACTCCAAAGATACGACCTAATCAGAGAAACAGTTTACAGTTAGCAATGTTAATACATTTGATCACACAATTTCCTTAACAGAAGCTTACATTCAGAGTGCAGAGGGTGGGAGTCATGGGTTGCGGTCGAATAGTCCAAAAATCAGCTCCTAAGTTCTAACCCTATCGTCTATCCCTTGACCTCTGAGTGAAAGGTCACGGGGTTAAGGGATAGTGGATAGGAGACTTCAAAAGGACTTAGGAGAAGAGACTGCGGTACTTTAGAGAATCGACTGCACTTTCACTATCCGACGTGTTTATGATGTGCCAGCAGAGGTCATAAATGTGCGTCTGCTGCTGTGGGGAAACTATGGAAACTACAGTTTTCTATACAGCGGACTACAACATGGATGTTTAATAAGAACGAGGGACTACTGTAAACTCATCTAGAGACTCTGCACCGTGCTCTGATGCTGTTATGCTTTATGAACGGGGACAACAGAGAAACATATTCTTCATGACCAAAGTTGGAATTGAAATAAAAAAGGAAAGTGAAACTTATGCTCGTCACCCTCTCCCTCCGGTCCACATTAATACAAATGATCCCAATACGTATGATTGTATGAAAAGATCTTAAAATCAATACAAATGTATTTATTATAAACGTTAGTCCTTAACATCTATCACTGTGTATATCACCATTCAAACATCTTTTAAAAGTTGAACAAACCCCACACAGCTCAGTAAAGACTGTGAAATGTTGACTTTAATTGATCATTTCAGTAAAAACTAACGTTCATATTTCTCTTTTTGATTATAATACTGATGAACGTTCAAAACAAAGCACTTTGGCAACTTACAGTTTTAAAAAGCTTAATAAGTACCGTAACTTTCATGATATCATTTCTCGGTCATAATCGGTTGTTTCCGTGAACGGCCGACTGTTGTGTAGAGGCTTCTCAATACTCTAATTTCCCCTCCTCGACTCCTCGACTCCTCGACTCCTCGACTCCTCGGTCCTCCGGTAGTGACCCGGAAATGGATTTCAGCGTGCCATGTTGAAGGACATCTAATTTCTCTAAATGCACCTCGAGGACCGAGCATCGAGCGTCGAGGAGGCTCTCTGGAGGAGCTATAATCGAGGATACACTGGCTGCGTTTCACTTCGATTAAATGGATTCCTTGCCCACTGCACTCTCGCGGGAATATCTCCGCAATGGAGCGAGCTTAAGTTTCACTTTCGATTGCATGATATAGCCCAGCGCAACACCTTCGTCACACATGTTGCCACTTGTTTGCACCATTTTCAGGCGATTTGTAATCTGTTCTAGAAAAACGATGTGTTTTTTAGGAACCCCTGCACTAGCGCAGTGTTTCTCAAACTTTTTCATACCAAGGACCACTTAACCAATAAAAAAACACTCACGGACGCTGGACATGGTCTCCAGGTTTATCTGGGTCTGCCTGAGGTACAGGGTCTCCAGGTTTATCTGGGTCTGCCTGAGGTACAGGGTCTCCAGGTTTATCTGGGTCTGCCTGAGGTACAGGGTCTCCAGGTTTAGCTATGGCTGCCTGAGGTACAGGGTTTCCAGGTTTAGCTATGGCTGCCTGAGGTACAGGGTCTCCAGGTTTAGCTATGGCTGCCTGAGGTACAGGGTCTCCAGGTTTGGCTGTGGCTGCCTGAGGTACAGGGTCTCCAGGTTTGGCTATGGCTGCCTGAGGTACAGGGTCTCCAGGTTTAGCTGTGGCTGCCTGAGGTACAGGGTCTCCAGGTTTGGCTGTGGCTGCCTGAGGTACAGGGTCTCCAGGTTTGGCTATGGCTGCCTGAGGTACAGGGTCTCCAGGTTTAGCTGTGGCTGCCTGAGGTACAGGGTCTCCAGGTTTAGCTGTGGCTGCCTGAGGTACAGGGTCTCCAGGTTTGGCTGTGACTGCCTGAGGCACAGGGTCTCCAGGTTTGGCTGTGGCTGCCTGAGGTACAGGGTCTCCAGGTTTATCGATGGCTGCCTGAGGTACAGGGTCTCCAGGTTTATCTGTGGCTGCCTGAGGTACAGGGTCTCCAGGTTTATCTATGGCTGCCTGAGGCACAGGGTCTCCAGGTTTATCTATGGCTGCCTGAGGCACAGGGTCTCCAGGTTTAGCTATGGCTGCCTGAGGTACAGGGTCTCCAGGTTTATCTATGGCTGCCTGAGGCACAGGGTCTCCAGGTTTATCTATGGCTGCCTGAGGCACAGGGTCTCCAGGTTTAGCTATGGCTGCCTGAGGCACAGGGTCTCCAGGTTTGGCTGTGGCTGCCTGAGGTACAGGGTCTCCAGGTTTATCTATGGCTGCCTGAGGCACAGGGTCTCCAGGTTTAGCTATGGCTGCCTGAGGCACAGGGTCTCCAGGTTTATCGATGGCTGCCTGAGGCACAGGGTCTCCAGGTTTAGCTATGGCTGCCTGAGGCACAGGGTCTCCAGGTTTGGCTGTGGCTGCCTGAGGTACAGGGTCTCCAGGTTTGGCTATGGCTGCCTGAGGTACAGGGTCTCCAGGTTTATCGATGGCTGCCTGAGGTACAGGGTCTCCAGGTTTATCTGTGGCTGCCTGAGGCACAGGTTCTCCAGGTTTATCTGTGGCTGCCTGAGGTACAGGGTCTCCAGGTTTATCTATGGCTGCCTGAGGCACAGGGTCTCCAGGTTTATCTATGGCTGCCTGAGGCACAGGGTCTCCAGGTTTAGCTATGGCTGCCTGAGGCACAGGGTCTCCAGGTTTGGCTGTGGCTGCCTGAGGTACAGGGTCTCCAGGTTTGGCTATGGCTGCCTGAGGTACAGGGTCTCCAGGTTTATCGATGGCTGCCTGAGGTACAGGGTCTCCAGGTTTATCTGTGGCTGCCTGAGGCACAGGTTCTCCAGGTTTATCTGTGGCTGCCTGAGGTACAGGGTCTCCAGGTTTATCTATGGCTGCCTGAGGCACAGGGTCTCCAGGTTTATCTATGGCTGCCTGAGGCACAGGGTCTCCAGGTTTAGCTATGGCTGCCTGAGGCACAGGGTCTCCAGGTTTGGCTGTGGCTGCCTGAGGTACAGGGTCTCCAGGTTTGGCTGTGGCTCACCAATCAGTCTGCTGGACCACTTTACGATCTGACTCAGAGAGTTTCAGGTTACCAAACCATGACATTAGTGAAAAAGACAGAATTGACTCGATAAAACATCATCATGGTTTTGTCAATGTTAAAATAGGACAGTTTGCACAATCATGGGGAAATTAGCAGCGTGGACTGAGAACAAACCTAAACATTTAAAAAGAAAATCACATTTAATTCAGGACATCTTATTATTTTTATGTGTTTATTTTTTTTCCGATATTATTGTCTTTAAAAAAAAATGTTAATCTAAATATTGGTTAGTTTTTGCATTTTTTATGTATTTAGATTTTTTTTAAACATTTTAAAATAAAACTGGCATCACATTTAAATCAGGAAATCATTTTATTTTTCATGTGTTTATTATTAAATGTTTCCCTAATATTATTGACATTTATTTATTTGTTTTTATCTTATTATTAGTTAGTTTTTGCATTTTTTTAAAAACTGATTTAGATTTTTAAAAACATTTTACTCTTTAATAAAACACCTGCAGACCCTTCATGTTTTATCTCTGAATACTTTCCGGGGGAAACATTTGAGACCCTTTAATCTCCCTCTGATGTTTCCACTGCTCTAATCCTGCAGCTGTGTGTGTGTGTGTGTGTGTGTGTGTGTGTGTGTGTGTGTGTGTGTGTGTGTGTGTGTGTGTGTGTGTGTGTGTGTGTGTGTGTGTGTGTGTGTGTGTGTGCGCGTATGTGTGTGTGTGTGTGTGTGTGTGTGTGTGTGTGTGTGTGTGTGTGTGTGTGTGTCTGTGTGTGTGTGTGTGTGTGTGTGTGTGTGTGTGTGTGTGTGTCAGCAGGGATTAGTGGGTAAAGGTAAGCGTGTGTCTCTTCCCGTGCAGGCGGATTTCCATCCCTCCGCCCTCGGATGAACCTCCCCTTCTCTCTCTCTCTCTCTCTTCACACACATACACACACACACACACACACACACACACACACACACACACACACACACACACACACATGTGCAGCCCTGACACAAAGAGTGTGTGTGTGTGTGTGTGTGTGTGTGTGTGTGTGTGTGTGTGTGTGTGTGTGTTTTCATTCGCCGTGAGATGCCATTCCTCCCAGAGGACTCTGAGGGACTCCATGTCTCTTCTCTCCCGGTAAGCTCCGCCTCTTCTAGCTCTCTTTTATTTTCAGAATACCTGACGATCTGCATTAAAGCCTTTTGTTTCTCTGCAGCTCCATTAAACCTCGTGCATGTGCTCAGTCATGCATGTTAACGTGACATACCCACACGTGTTTACAGGAAACTAATATTGTACCATTGCTCTAGGGTTATTCAACGTATCGTAACCTAACGTGTTAGCTGGCTGAGCTATGGAGCTAATTCTGTTTAGTTTGTTTGTGGAGTTATGGCAGGAAATTAGCTCCATACTGAGCGCTGTGAGAGACGTGTTAGCTGGCTGAGCGCTGTGAGAAACGTGTTAGCTGGCTGAGCGCTGTGAGAGACGTGTTAGCTGGCTGAGCGCTGTGAGAAACGTGTTAGCTGGCTGAGCGCTGTGAGAGACGTGTTAGCTGGCTGAGCGCTGTGAGAGACGTGTTAGCTGGCTGAGAGCTGTGAGAGACGTGTTGGCTGGCTGAGCGCTGTGAGAGACGTGTTAGCTGGCTGAGCGCTGTGAGAGACGTGTTAGCTGGCTGAGCGCTGTGAGAGACGTGTTAGCTGGCTGAGCGCTGTGAGAGACGTGTTAGCTGGCTGAGCGCTGTGAGAGACGTGTTGGCTGGCTGAGCGCTGTGAGAGACGTGTTAGCTGGCTGAGCGCTGTGAGAGACGTGTTAGCTGGCTGAGCGCTGTGAGAGACGTGTTAGCTGGCTGAGCGCTGTGAGAGACGTGTTAGCTGGCTGAGCGCTGTGAGAAACATGTTAGCTGGCTGAGCGCTGTGAGAGACGTGTTAGCTGGCTGAGCGCTGTGAGAAACGTGTTAGCTGGCTGAGCGCTGTGAGAAACGTGTTAGCTGGCTGAGCGCTGTGAGAGACGTGTTAGCTGGCTGAGCGCTGTGAGAGACGTGTTAGCTGAGCGCTGTGAGAGACGTGTTAGCTGGCTGAGCGCTGTGAGAGACGTGTTAGCTGGCTGAGCGCTGTGAGAGACGTGTTAGCTGGCTGAGCGCTGTGAGAAACGTGTTAGCTGGCTGAGCGCTGTGAGAGACGTGTTAGCTGGCTGAGCGCTGTGAGAAACGTGTTAGCTGGCTGAGCGCTGTGAGAGACGTGTTAGCTGGCTGAGCGCTGTGAGAGACGTGTTAGCTGGCTGAGCGCTGTGAGAGACGTGTTAGCTGGCTGAGCGCTGTGAGAGACGTGTTAGCTGGCTGAGCGCTGTGAGAGACGTGTTAGCTGACTGAGCGCTGTGAGAGACGTGTTAGCTGGCTGAGTGCTGTGAGAGACGTGTTAGCTGGCTGAGCGCTGTGAGAGACGTGTTAGCTGGCTGAGCACTGTGAGAAACGTGTTAGCTGGCTGAGCGCTGTGAGAGACGTGTTAGCTGGCTGAGCGCTGTGAGAAAGATGAAAGTTAGTGCTTTTTTATGGGTGTTTTGCAGTGGCGAGCCGTCAGGGCCCTCTAGGCCCTCTGTGAGGGCCTAAGATATTCCAAAAAATAATATTTAAAAACATTAAAAAAATATATATTTTTTTAAAATATATATTTTTTTAATATTATTTTTGTTATATTTTTCATTCGTTTTACCGAAAAAAAACTTGATTTAATAAAATAACATTTCCAAAGAAATAAATCCTTCGAATCTGCCTGTTCAGTCTCTGTTTGAATGTGAAGGGTTACATGAAAGAAGCTCGTCTGGCCCTCTCTGCGATTCACAGAGGGTTGCTATAGTAACTGAACGAGAGAGTAATGTCTAATGACAGTACATATCTTCCCTCTAAATGGGTGGGTTTTATTATCGCGGACTTTATGACGAGTTCCGCCCGCTGTGAAACTTTTCTTGTTTCCATAGCAACAACAACTTCCTGTCAACTGCGTGAACTCGCCTTCAAAATAAAAGCATGCCAAATTACACTTAAGACATACAACTGCAACGAAAGTAACAAACACAATGCAATATCATTTTCAATGTCAAAGAACACAAATTGGGTTCCCAGGTGTTGTTTTGTGTGGTAGAGGGTCGCTGTCATTGATGCGTTTTGCACCCTGGGCCGTTGTTTTGATATTCCGCTGAAGTATACGCTGTGACGTAATAACTCTTTTTTTTTCTTTTTTTCGAGGGAAGGGGTGGGGGTCAGAGGGCCTAGGTATAAAGCTCACGGCTCGCCACTGGTGTTTTGTGATCTGCAACATTAACGTGATGATCATAGCATCCATGCATGTGCACATCTGTAAATCATGCATGTCAACAGCTGCTGTGAAGGGACATACCAACACTTTCTAAAGGAAGTTATTATTGCTAGGGTAATTCAATATATATAGTAAGATAGTATGCTTGTTGATTAGTGTGAGAGCTGGTTGAACGCTGCACAAAAGATGCAAATGAATCATCTTGTATGGGTGTGTTGTTGTTGTGATGAACACAAGTCCTCATGCATGTGCACATCTCTCCATCATGCATGCTAACAGCTGCTTTAAAGGGAGATAGCAACATTATTTTTTAAAGGAAATTCATATTTTACCATTTCTTATCGGGTATTTAAACGTCTAGTAAAATAACAGACATATAGTTTAGTGGCTTTTTAAAGTGTGTGAAAAGATGCAAATTCATGTTTCTGTAAGGTTGTGTTGTTGTTCTGATGAACACAAGTCCTCATGCATGTGCACATCTCTCCATCATGCATGTTAACGGCTGCTTTAATACCAACATATTAAACAAAGAAAAGGTATTATTTCTCTTCTCTCACAGTCTGTATGTAACACATTCTTTTCGAAGTGTTTTTTTATATGTTTGTGTGCTATTTTTAACTCCTAACTCCTGCGTCTCTGTACCTTAATCCAACGACACGATGATGTATTTTTAGTCCTTTTTCTGAGATAATCCGTCTGTTTTGGAAAAACAATCTGCTGCACTTCCAGACAGGAAGTCTCTCATATTCCTGCTTTCCTCGTAGCTTTTGGGGCCGTATTGTTTATCGTTTCCTCTGCCTGGATGCTAGTTGGATTTGTGTGTTTGTCTGCAGGATGATTTGATATGAAACGAGGTGGAAAGGAGCCGAGGACGTTTTGTTTACAACTAGCTTCCACTGCTAAAGGTGGGACTTCTGCAGGTTGGAGCATTGCTGTGTGTGTGTGTGTGTGTGTGTGTGTGTGTGTGTGTGTGTGTGTGTGTGTGTGTGTGTGTGTGTGTGTGTGTGTGTGTGTGTGTGTGTGTGTGTGTGTGTGTGTGTGTGTGTGTGTGTGTGTGTGTGTGTGTGTGTGTGTGTGGTGTGTGTGTGTGTGTGTGTGTGTGTGTGTGTGTGTGTGTGTGCGAATGTCTTGTGGCAGGTGATGCAGATGATCAGGTATTAAGTGATCAGTTGAATTGCTCCCCTGTGTCTCTGTACGTTGTCGACTGTTTGTGATTTTATTTATAGACGAAGACACTGATGAGTTAATCATGGTTGGACTCTATAACTCCTCACCCTTCAGTAAAGGGAACTGAGAACTTCCACCACTATGTGCAAAATAAATACTATTACCATCATTACACACTCTCTGCTATATAACATGTGCCATATTATTAATAATGTTCTATAATAACGTGCAATTACGGATCTGCCACCACGTTGTTTTGCACGACTAAACACTGCTCGTCACTCTACAGTATTTTACATTAACTATGTGCCCGTCTGTGTTTCCTGCAGTTATATAATTGCTCTTTTTTCTGCACTGTTAGTGTGCAGTTGTATTGTTATGCTGCTGTGTTTACCGTCTCTTTGTGACTCTGGCACGACAATTTCCTTCAGGATAAATGAAGTCCTATCTAATCTTATCTTCTCTGATCTCTTATCTTTAGTGTCTCAGGTGTGAAGATTAAGTGAGGTGTTTTTGATTCGAGGTAATCTCATTATCTGTTTACGGCTCTGAGGCCTCAGCTCCTGTTGGGTCACCTTAACTTTCAGTGACCCAGAATCCAAAATCTGGATCATTAAAGGTGGGGTAGGTAAGTTTGAGAAACCAGCTCGAGATACACTTGTTGTTATATTCCATGGAATGCTCTTAACATCCTGATAGCAATGAATATCTGAAGTGCTTTGACAACAAATCCATAAATAAATATCATCTGTGGAAGCTGTAGTACTGTAAAAAGCACGACCAATCATCTGAGCCGGCCCGGCTAAAATAACTGGATGGCCTACCTGCCTGTCAGCCTTCCATCTGTGCACAAACTTATCTCGTGCCCTCATTGGTCATGTGCGCGTTCGTGTGTGTTGGAGGAGGGGCTCTGTGAGGAAGTGGCAGATTTCTTCCGGCTGTGTATTTTCAAATTCTAGCGCACTCTAGCTGGTTTCTCCAACATTACCTACCCCACCTTTAACCCTCGTTCCTCCCTTTAAAGAGTCCCTATTCCCTCTCCTGTAGTGTTTCATACAGGTGCTCAAATGTGAGTTTCTATCTTAAGTTGAAAATGATAAGAAAGCTACTACAACCTACGTGGGTGCGAAAGTCGTTTCTTGACCTTGGTGACAATATTTTTGGTTTTAGGGAAAAAGTCAATGGTTTCCTGAATGTTAACTCAATGACCCAAAATCTGGATCATTAACCTTCCCTTTAAAGAGTCCCTATTCCCTCTCCTGTAGTGTGTTCTACAGGTGTTAGTGCATGTAAATGGTCTGCAAAGGCTAAAATCCCTGTGTTTCCTCCAGAGGGAGTTTCTATCTTAAGTTGAAACAGATGAGAAAGGCTACTACTTACCTACGTGGGTGCAGAAGTCGTTGTTGTTTTTTTACCTTGGTGACTATATTTTAGGTTGTAGGAAAAAAGTCAATGGTTTTCTGATTGTGTTTTTTGGTGGTTAGCCTGAAATCTGTTGTTAACTCAATGACCCAAAATCTGGATCATTAACCCTCATGCATCCCTATTCCCTCTCCTGTAGTGTGTTATATAGGTGTTAGTGCATGTAAATGGTCTGCAGAGGCTAAAATCCCTTTGTTACCTCCAGAGGGAGTTTCTATCTTAAGCTGAAACTGATAAGAAAGCTACTACAACCTACGTGGGTGCGAAAGTCGTTTATTGACCTTGGTGCAAATATTTAGGTTGTACGAAAACAGTCAATGGTTTCCTGAATGTGTTTTTGGTTGTTATTCTGAAATCTGTTGTTAACTCAATGACCCAACATCTGGATCATCAACCTTCCCTTTAAAGAGTCCCTATTCCCTCTCCTGTAGTGTTTCATGCAGGTGTTAGTGCATGTAAATGGTCTGCAGAGGCTAAAATCCCTGTTTGCTCCAGAGGGAGTTTCTAACTATCTTAAGTTGAAACTGATGAGAAAAGCTACTACTTTATATACGTGGGTGCAGAAGTTGTTTCTTGACCTTATAATATTTTAGGTTTTAGGAAAAATGTCAATGGTTTTCTGATTGTGATTTTGGTTGTTAGCCTGAAATCTGTGGTTAACACAATTACCCAAAATCTGGATTATTATCCCTTGTGCCTCCATTTAAAGAGTCCCTATTCCCTCTGTTATATAGTGCATGTAAATGGTTTGCAAATGCTAAAATGTGAGTTTCTATATTAAGTTGAAACTGATAAGAAAGCTACTACTACCTACGTTGGTGCGAAAGTCGTTTTTTGACCTTGGGGACAATATTTTAGGTTTTAGGGAAAAAAATCAATGGTTTTCTGAACATATTTTTGGTTGTTCGTCTGAAATCTATTATTTACTCAATAACCCAAAATCTTGATCCTCAACCTTCCCTTTAAAGAGTCCCTATTCCCTATCCTGTAGTGTGTTATATAGTGCATGTAAATGGTCTGCAAAGGTTAAAATCCTAAAGTGTTACCTCCAGCGGGAGTTCCTATCTTAAGTTGAAACTGATAAGAAAGCTACTAGTACTTACGTTGGTGCGAAAGTAGTTTTTTGACCTTGGTAACAATATTTTATGTTTTTAGGGAAAAAGTCAATGGTTTCCTGAATGGGTTTTTGGTTGTTAGTCTGAAATCTGTGGTTAACTCAATGACCCAAAATCTGGATCATCAACCTTCTCTTTAAAGAGTCCCTATTCCCTCTCCTGTAGTGAGTGTTACAGGTGTTAGTGCATGTCAATGGTCTGCAGAGGATACAAATTGTGTTTTGGGTTGTTAGCCTGAAATCTGTGATTAACACAAGCTCAAGAGATGTGTATAATACCCCGCTGGTGAATTAAAAGTAAGCCTCTCATGCAATAACTAATCCCCTGTTAGAGCCTTTCATCTCCACCTGTATCAAATTAAATAATAACAAACTATTATCCTAAAAACACCTTTCCTGGGAATTTCACCTCCATTTATTTTTCTCAGAGCTTCTGTAGAAACGTATGTGTGTTCATAAGTGTGTTGGGGGGATATAGTGGGGGTTAAAGACCCCTTAAGCAGCCTGTGGTTCCGGCCCTGCGAGGTTCAGCCTGTCCGACACAGTGAAGTCTGTCTGAGCAGAAACTTCTTCACAGCGAGGTCACCGAGTCTTTAAGAGCAGAGCGCTGAGTTTATTGGTCTGAGTTGGAGGACAATCAGACAATCAGACAAACCTGAGAGTGTGTTGTGTGGCGGAGGATGAGGAGGAGGCAGAGGAAGGTTTCTGAATCTGTTCCTGTGCTTTCTGCTTCAGGAGCATCATGAGCCCGCACGGCACAAACAGAGCTGTTCAGCGATTGGAGTTCTGCAACTGCAAGAAGGGACTCGGTGAGCATGCTAACCCTAAATAATAATGATAATAATAATAACTGACATTTATATAGAAGCCTTTCATAAACCCAAGGACACCACACCTGACCTCTGTGACCTCTGCATGCTGTGGACTAATAACACTTAACGTTTGTGCAGAAATGTCTTTAAATGCTCTTATAGAAGTGTGCAGACAGCTTCTCTCTGTTAGCATCTTCTTAGGTCTGTGTTATCTCCAACTTATATTAGAGAATACCACACAAACAAGAATGAATGACCTTTCAAGTAAAGCAAAGAAAACTATATCTTAAAAGTTAGAATAATTTGTATTGGCAAAAATAAATATGAATATAATGTAGAAAAAAAGTAAGAATATTTTTGAAAATATAATAAAATAATAAAATGGAAAATGGAAAGAGAATTCAAATGTAAAATATTTGTAGGAAGTTTAAGAACATTTAAAAAATAAATAGGAACATTTAGAATATGCCAGACTCTGTAGAATACATCCTCTGCCTCTCATCAGGTGTGAAGATAATCGGGGGGTACAGAGATCTGACCGGAGAGGAGTTCGGTATCTACGTGAAGAGAGTGATCGCCGGGGGGCTCGCCGCTCAGGACGGTACGAGGGGTTTAGGGTTATTTATATTTTAAGTAATATAATTATTATTAAACCACATACCTGTCCGTCTCTTCCAGGTCGGTTAAAGTCAGGTGACCTGATTCTGGATGTCAATAACATCAGTCTGATGGACGCGACCAATGAGAGGTGAGCAGGTTATCTGACCTTTATTTATTTATTTGTACTTCATTCTAACCTCCTTATTCATTCCTGTTCTATATAAAGTACTTCCTGTCTCTGTTCCTGTCTCTGATAGGGCGGTGGAGAACCTGAGGATGGCGTCGCTGTCCAATCACATGACTCTGCTGATCGCCAGAGACGAGGAGTCCAGGTGAGACAGAAACAAACACTCAGGGGGAAATGAGAAAAAGGGGCTTTTTTACTTTAGCAATCAAACGTGCGCTCCTATTGGCTAGCGCTCCACATGTGACTATAGAGCGTCTCATAATACAGAAGTGTTTCTCGTGAATTCCTGGAGGAAGCGTTCTCTGATGATTCCTCTGGTTTCCCCAATGTGCCGACCCCCTAACATCAGCTGATGTCTCTGCAGTGAGACAGCTGATGTCTCTGCAGTGAGACAGGTGATGTCTCTGCAGTGAGACAGGTGACGTCTCTGCAGTGAGACAGGTGATGTCTCTGCAGTGAGACAGCTGATGTCTCTGCAGTGAGACAGGTGATGTCTCTGCAGTGAGACAGGTGATGTCTCTGCAGTGAGACAGGTGATGTCTCTGCAGTGAGACAGGTGATGTCTCTGCAGTGAGACAGGTGATGTCTCTGCAGTGAGACAGGTGATGTCTCTGCAGTGAGACAGGTGATGTCTCTGCAGTGAGACAGGTTGTATCCCGTCCTGTTGACCTCAGTCTTGTCTGTGTTTTGATCGGTCTTTGTCTCAGACTCTGATCTGAGCTGGCAGGCTGCTGTCGCCGGGGTTTTTCAAACAGAAACACACTGTGACACAATCAGGACGCTGCTGTCTGTCCACAGGAAGACACACACACACACACACACACACACACACACACACACACACACACACACACACACACACACACACACACACACACCACACACACACACACACACACACACACACACACACACACACACACACACACACACACACACACACACACACACACACACACACACACACACACACACTGACACACTGACTGAGGGTTAGGGTTAGCAACAGACTTTGACCCGTATTAATATATGAAACACAACGTAACACTACTTCTTAAACTAACTGTGGGGACATACAGTATAGCAACATCTAGGGAAATAGGGAACTTAGTATAGAAAATGTAAATCGAAATATAGAACAAATAGGGAATATTCTTAAATATTAAAACATTTAAGAAAATTCAGGAGAATCATAGAAAATCTCTTGAATGTAGAAATATTAAGGAACATTTTAAGATTCAGAGATTTAAAAAAAAAAGGATACTTTGGGGATTTTTTTAAATATATTGTTGGTATATATTTGAGAAACATTAAGAAACATGTTCAAAAGAACATTTACTATAAAACCTGAAATGGGGAAATAAAGATTTATGAAAATGAGCCGATGTGATTGAGTGAGTAGCAGAGGCTCACAGCGGTTTATAATGTTATTATATAACCTGTGTGTGTGTGTGTGTGTGTGTGTGTGTGTGTGTGTGTGTGTGTGTGTGTGTGGTGTGTGTGTGTGTGTGTGTGTGTGTGTGTGTGTGTGTGTGTGTGTGTGTGTGTGTGTGTGTGTGTGTGTGTGTGTGTGTGTGTGTGTGTGTGTGTGTGTGTGTGTGTGTGTGTGTGTGTGTGTGTGTGTGTGTGTGTGTGTGTGTGTTGAAGCAGCTTTGTGCCGACGCGTCAGGTTTTCACCTCAGAGCTCGACCTCTGCTGTTTTTTTTTTTTTGTTTCAAACTCAAAAATAAATGATGATATGAATGTGCAGCTGCTGCGAGGGTTTACTGTTCAGAGGAGAGAGGGGACACGGGGGATTTTAGCCTCTGCAGACCATTGACATGCACTAACACCTAGAGAACACAATACAGGAGAGGAACAGGGACTCTTTAAAGGTGATGCAGTTCCCTCTGCAGCCAGGAGAGGAACAGGGACTCTTTAAAGGTGATGCTGTTCCCTCTGCAGCCAGGAGAGGAACAGGGACTCTTTAAAGGTGATGCAGTTCCCTCTGCAGTCAGGAGAGGAACAGGGACTCTTTAAAGGTGATGCTGTTCCCTCTGCAGCCAGGAGAGGAACAGGGACTCTTTAAAGGTGATGCAGTTCCCTCTGCAGCCAGGAGAGGAACAGGGACTCTTTAAAGGTGATGCAGTTCCCTCTGCAGCCAGGAGAGGAACAGGGACTCTTTAAAGGTGATGCTGTTCCCTCTGCAGCCAGGAGAGGAACAGGGACTCTTTAAAGGTGATGCAGTTCCCTCTGCAGCCAGGAGAGGAACAGGGACTCTTTAAAGGTGATGCAGTTCCCTCTGCAGCCAGGAGAGGAACAGGGACTCTTTAAAGGTGATGCTGTTCCCTCTGCAGCCAGGAGAGGAAACAGGGACTCTTTAAAGGTGATGCAGTTCCCTCTGCAGCCAGGAGAGGAACAGGGACTCTTTAAAGGTGATGCTGTTCCCTCTGCAGCCAGGAGAGGAACAGGGACTCTTTAAGGTGATGCAGTTCCCTCTGCAGCCAGGAGAGGAACAGGGACTCTTAAAGGTGATGCTGTTCCCTCTGCAGCCAGGAGAGGAACAGGGACTCTTTAAAGGTGATGCAGTTCCCTCTGCAGCCAGGAGAGGAACAGGGACTCTTTAAAGGTGATGCTGTTCCCTCTGCAGCCAGGAGAGGAACAGGGACTCTTTAAAGGTGATGCAGTTCCCTCTGCAGCCAGGAGAGGGCCAGGGACTCTTTAAAGGTGATGCTGTTCCCCTCTGCAGCCAGGAGAGGAACAGGGACTCTTTAAAGGTGATGCTGTTCCCTCTGCAGCCAGGAGAGGAACAGGGACTCTTTAAAGGTGATGCAGTTCCCTCTGCAGCCAGGAGAGGAACAGGGACTCTTTAAAGGTGATGCTGTTCCCTCTGCAGCCAGGAGAGGAACAGGGACTCTTTAAAGGTGATGCAGTTCCCTCTGCAGCCAGGAGAGGAACAGGGACTCTTTAAAGGTGATGCTGTTCCCTCTGCAGCCAGGAGAGGAACAGGGACTCTTTAAAGGTGATGCTGTTCCCTCTGCAGCCAGGAGAGGAACAGGGACTCTTTAAAGGTGATGCTGTTCCCTCTGCAGCCAGGAGAGGAACGGGGACTCTTTAAAGGTGATGCAGTTCCCTCTGCAGCCAGGAGAGGAACGGGGACTCTTTAAAGGTGATGCAGTTCCCTCTGCAGCCAGGAGAGGGAACAGGGACTCTTTAAAGGTGATGCAGTTCCCTCTGCAGCCAGGAGAGGAACAGGGACTCTTTAAAGGTGATGCAGTTCCCTCTGCAGCCAGGAGAGGAACAGGGACTCTTTAAAGGTGATGCTGTTCCCTCTGCAGCCAGGAGAGGAACAGGGACTCTTTAAAGGTGATGCTGTTCCCTCTGCAGCCAGGAGAGGAACAGGGACTCTTTAAAGGTGATGCAGTTCCCTCTGCAGCCAGGAGAGGAACAGGGACTCTTTAAAGGTGATGCTGTTCCCTCTGCAGTCAGGAGAGGAACAGGGACTCTTTAAAGGTGATGCAGTTCCCTCTGCAGCCAGGAGAGGAACAGGGACTCTTTAAAGGTGATGCAGTTCCCTCTGCAGCCAGGAGAGGAACAGGGACTCTTTAAAGGTGATGCAGTTCCCTCTGCAGCCAGGAGAGGAACAGGGACTCTTTAAAGGTGATGCTGTTCCCTCTGCAGCCAGGAGAGGAACAGGGACTCTTTAAAGGTGATGCTGTTCCCTCTGCAGCCAGGAGAGGAACAGGGACTCTTTAAAGGTGATGCAGTTCCCTCTGCAGCCAGGAGAGGAACAGGGACTCTTTAAAGGTGATGCTGTTCCCTCTGCAGTCAGGAGAGGAACAGGGACTCTTTAAAGGTGATGCTGTTCCCTCTGCAGCCAGGAGAGGAACAGGGACTCTTTAAAGGTGATGCAGTTCCCTCTGCAGCCAGGAGAGGAACAGGGACTCTTTAAAGGTGATGCAGTTCCCTCTGCAGCCAGGAGAGGAACAGGGACTCTTTAAAGGTGATGCAGTTCCCTCTGCAGCCAGGAGAGGAACAGGGACTCTTTAAAGGTGATGCAGTTCCCTCTGCAGCCAGGAGAGGAACAGGGACTCTTTAAAGGTGATGCAGTTCCCTCTGCAGCCAGGAGAGGAACAGGGACTCTTTAAAGGTGATGCAGTTCCCTCTGCAGCCAGGAGAGGGAGACAAACACTCAGAAATCTGCTTCATCAAATCTTGGAAATATAACATTATTTTATTCTGCATTCAGATTTATAGTTAAACTCAAATATCCAAATTAAACTAAATAGTAGTTCAACATTTTAGGAAGACAAACAACACGATTACACAGAAGTTAAATATGCAATACAAACTCAATAAAATAAAAATATGTATACACATTTTTTTTCAAAAAAAGAATGTTCAAAAGTGTAATATCATTTTGCATGCAAAGCTTTGACAGAAGAAAACGTGACATATTTAATATTTTAAATATATTTAAACATATGTAAATATTCCTTCTTAATCCTAATACTTTCTGCACATTCAGTTTATTTGATTTATTACACTTCTCTTGATATGCATGTCAATAAAAGTCTTAAATCACCATAATAAAAATAAGGTTAATTACAGCCAAAAACCTACTTTTATTGCAAACAAATTACAGTCGTTTGAATGCACAACGTGAATGTGAATATTATCACTAACGCTTTCCTCCAAACATTTATTTGATTAAGTTTCTGTGTTTCCGTCAGGAGGGAGTTCACTGAGCTGATGGGAAAATACGGATCCAATAATGTCTCGTCTTCAGGATGCATCTCTCCCACACAGACCACCACAGGTAAGACGCATGCACGCACGCACGCACGCACGCACGCACGCACGCACGCACGCACGCACGCACGCACGCACGCACGCACGCACGCACGCACGCACGCACACACACACACAAAGAACGTTTTCTAACTGTGCAAAACTGTGCTCACTTTGCAAGGTGTCCCCGTTCTTCTGACTCTGCACACATGTCGTCACCTTTTTAAATTGTCCTCACTGTTCTCATGTTGTCCTGAAGTCGCTAACCTCATGGACATTTCTTTGAAACGTCCTCACTTTGCAAAAACGATGTTATTAAAGTGATCTCTAAGTGACTCCATTTCCCATCATCCTCTCTGTTCTTCTTCGTTGGTGTCAGGGAGGCTGACGGACACGGCCTCTTCTTCTTCTTCCTCCCGGTCGGAGAGTCCTCAGCTGCTCAGTCCTAAAGAGGGGGTCAGCGCCCCGCCCCCCAGCGCGCACCCCCCCCTGCACGCCTTCAGGTAGGACGCTTTATTGAAAGGTCTCCTATCATACAAGAGTCACTTTGTGATGTCTTCTCTACATCAATAAGTGTCCCCGGTGTGTCCCCCGGTGTGTCCCCGGTGTGTGTCCCCGGTGTGTCCCCCGTGTGTCCCCCGTGTGTCCCCGGTGTGTCCCCCGTGTGTCCCCGGTGTGTCCCCCGTGTGTCCCCCGTGTGTCCTCGGTGTGTCCCCGGTGTGTCCCCGGTGTGTCCCCGTGTGTCCCCGGTGTGTCCCCGGTGTGTCCCCGGTGTGTCCCCCGGTGTGTCCCCGGTGTGTCCCTGTGTGTGTGTCCCCGGTGTGTCCCCCGTGTGTCCCCGGTGTGTCCCCCGTGTGTCCCCGTGTGTCCCCGGTGTGTGTCCCCGTGTGTCCCCGGTGTGTCCTTGTGTGTGTGTGTCCCCCGTGTGTCCCCGGTGTGTCCCTGTGTGTGTGTCCCCGGTGTGTCCCCCGTGTGTCCCCCTTGTGTCCCCGGTGTCCCCCGGTGTGTCCCCCGGTGTGTCCCCGGTGTGTCCCCCGGTGTGTCCCCGGTGTGTCCTTGTGTGTGTGTGTCCCCCGTGTGTCCCCGGTGTGTCCCCCGTGTGTCCCTGTGTGTGTGTCCCCGGTGTGTCCCCCGTGTGTCCCCGGTGTGTCCCCCGTGTGTCCCCGGTGTGTCCCCGGTGTGTCCCCCGGTGTGACCCCGGTGTGTCCCCCGTGTGTCCCCGGTGTGTCCCTGTGTGTGTGTGTCCCCGGTGTGTCCCCCGTGCGTCCCCGGTGTGTCCCCCGGTGTGTCCCCGGTGTGTGTCCCCGGTGTGTCCCCGGTGTGTCCCCCGGTGTGTCCCCGGTGTGTCCCTGGTGTGTCCCCCGGTGTGTCCCCCGTGTGTCCCCGGTGTGTCCCCGGTGTGTCCCCCGGTGTGTCCCCCGGTGTGTCCCCCGTGTGTCCCCCGTGTGTCCCCGGTGTGTCCCCCGTGTGTCCCCCGTGTGTCCCCCGTGTGTCCCCCGTGCGTCCCCCGTGCGTCCCCGGTGTGTCCCCCGGTGTGTCCCCCGTGTGTCCCCGGTGTGTCCCCGGTGTGTCCCCGGTGTGTCCCCGGTGTCCCCCCCCGGTGTGTCCCCGGTTTGTCCCCGGTGTGTCCCCGGTGTGTCCCCGGTGTCCCCCCTGTGTGTCCCCGGTGCGTCCCCGGTTTGTCCCCGGTGTCCCCCCCCCGGTGTGTCCCCGGTGTGTCCCCGGTGTGTCCCCGGTGCGTCCCCGGTGCGTCCCCGGTGCGTCCTCGGTGCGTCCCCGGTGCGTCCTCGGTGTGTCCCCGGTGTGTCCCCGGTGTGTCCCCCGTGTGTCAGGAGACTCTCAAAGTGTCAGGAAATAAACCCCTCTCTCTTTTCCTCCGTACCCACATCTCTAAAAACGGGGGAACAACGGAGCTGATCCAGATTTGCTGCGTCATGACGACATTACTAAAATGTGGGCGGGCTTTACACCCACGGGCCAATCAGAAACGTTGCTGTCAGAAACAATGAGACGTGTTCTGGAAGTAATACGGTCTGTGTTAGACCCAGAATCATCTCTTTAGTAACAGCTGAGAGAGGGGGGGGGTGAGGCTAGAAGGATCTGTTTGGTATTTGGAGCAAAACACTTCAGAGACATGTTTTTTATATATTTGTATACATCTGAGACCTGTAATATATGCCTAAAAATAGTATAACCTTTAAATACAAATACAAACAATAATAATAGTTTGTTTATTGTTAATTGTTTGTTGTTTATTGACTCTCCTCGCAGTGACAGTGGGATCCAGCTGATCTGCGTTTCCAAGGGAACGGGCTTGGGGCTCGTCATCAGGGGCGGAGCTAACAGAGTCGACGGACCAATGGTGTTCATCCAGGAAGTGGTTCCTGCAGGAGACGCCCACAAGGTCAGCGGACGGTCTATTTTATTTAGCAATTTATAAAACATCTTATAATCATTTAATACAAATATTCTCAAATAGCTTTTTATTTGGAATTGTATTTCTAAATAAAAAAAAAAAAAAATAGCATTTCTGTTTTTTTTACATTTTCTCAATCTTTTTAGCCTTAATTATGATTTGAAAGATCTCCATCATAAACATGTAACATGTAACATGTAACATGTATGTTCAGGACGGCCGTCTGCAGGCCGGGGATCAGCTGGTCTCCATCAATAAAGAGTCTCTGATCGGGGTCACGTACGAGGAGGCGAGGAGCGTCCTGACCAGAACCAAACTCAGGTACAAACACACCGTGCGATATTGATCTTAACTTATAATGAATATTAACGTCCTCTCTGCTGGTTCAGACCGGACCCCACGGTGGAGATCGCCTTCATCCACCGCTCCTCCTCTTCCTCTGGGCCCCACAGCCCCGTCTCCCAGCAGGGGGCGGGGGGAGGATCCGTGCCCCAGCAGAGGGCCTCGATGCTGGGGAACTCAGGAGCTTCAGGGGCCCCGGGGACCAGGATCACCTCCAGCAGGAACCCAGTCTGTGAGACCCTGCCCCCCGTCAGCGTCAGGCAGGTGAGGAACACATGAATAAAATAGATATGAATGGGTTATTATTAGGGCTGTCAAGTTAACGCGTTAATAACGCGTTAACGCAAAAAAAAATTAACGCCACTAATTATTTTAACGCGATTAACGCATGTGTATTTTTTGTCCTCGGCCGCCCCGTAGTTTCAGAGCGCATCGAGTGTAAAATACCATCTACAAGCTGATGCTGACAGCCCCGCTCCTGCCGCCCGCTTGTGGCAGACCACACTTCCACGCTCACCGGCAGGCCCGGACTGGCCATCGGGAGGACCGGGAGGGAGTGTGTATGTGTGGTGCGACTCGCGCGAGCGAGGCACACCTTACGTGTTGTTGTTAGCATCTGGTGCTAGCTAGCTGCGCTGACGGATATAAGGAGCTGTTTCAATGACATTTCGCCGACAACTGCGCCGAGCACTTGACTTTATGCAGGTAGCCAGCCAGTGGGACATTGTACGAAAAGTCAGCACACTCAGCACGGATAGTGCACGCTACATGATTGCAGCGTCCAGGCAGCTCCCATTCGAGCATATATGCCTTGAGCGGCACATAGCTCCTCCAACGATCCATCACAGTGTCTACACACACACACACACACACACACACACACACACACACACACACACACACACACACACACACACACACACACACACTCATTATTAAGATGTGTTAATGTGTGCAGGTGAGCGTTCCTGCAGTGATAGCCGAGGTGACGCCAGAGAGCGACAGCAGCGCAGACACAAACACCGGTATTTATATATGATGTGTGTGTGTGTGTGTGTGTGTGTGTGTGTGTGTGTGTGTGTGTGTGTGTGTGTGTGTGTGTGTGTGTGTGTGTGTGTGTGTGTGTGTGTGCGTTCCTTTATTACAATGGGACTCACATAAGGAGCCGTGTGTTGTACTGGATGTGGACAGACTCTTTGTTTAGAAAGGAGCAGGACACAATAAGAGACATTTTCTGCAGTGTTTCCAACATTCTTCGAACACGTCGTCGCCATGAGAGTCTGCTGGATTCTCTATTTGTGCACGTCAGTAGGCATGTTGCACCAACAGTAATTATTTGTAGTTGTTAATGATAGTGTTTGTGTTGCAGAGCCTCCTCACAGGAAACACCCGCTCAGAACAAACTGTCGCCTCAAACTGGACAAGCTGGAGCAGGTCTGAGAAGCATATTTATTTATACTATTATTATGTATTTCCCTTTAATTATTTTATTTATTTTAATTATTTATTTATTTATTTTATTTATTTTATTTATTTTATTTATTTTATTTATTTTATTTATTTTATTTATTTTATTTATTGTATTATTTTATTAGTTATATATATATTATTATATGATATCATTGAGCGCAGTGTGATGTCAGCAGTTCAGTTTGTAGGTCACATGCTGCCTCAGGCCTCTGCTGAAAACGTATCCTCCAAATCTGTTAATTATTCTGTTTTTAAATAAATGAAATGAGAGATTTTATTCTTTATGATCTGAGGATTCTCTCAGGTGGAAATAAAGATGTGAAAAACATTTATTTAATATCAAACATGGAGCAGAAACTCAGAGGGTTTCATTTGATTGGAGAGTGACAGCATGCACGTTCACCACTGTGTATTGATGTGTGTGTGTGTGTGTGTGTGTGTGTGTGTGTGTGTGTGTGTGTGTGCGCGTGTGTGTGTGTGTGTGTGTGTGTGTGTGTGTGTGTGTGTGTGTGTGTGTGTGTGTGTGTGTGCGCGCGTGTGTGTGTGTGTGTGTGTGTGTGTGTGTGTGTGTGTGTGTGTGTGTGTAGGCTCTGTGTGTGTTAGGCTTGCAGCTCTCTGGGTCTCAGCAGCAGACCCTCCTCTGCAGACTGAGAGCCGACGCTGCAGGAACCGTGGCCTTCGCAGGTAACACTAATCCCCCTTAAAGATACCCTTAAATCCCCCTTAAAGATACCCTTAAATCGCCCTTAAATTGCCCTTAAATCCCCCTTAAGTTAACCCTTAAATACCCCTCACTCTGATGCATTATCGTTATGTAACCCTTAACATGTTCTCCTGTGATGTGATGTCCCCTCTGATTGGATCTGAAAGCTAGACACAGACCAGAGCACAGATTACATTTGGTCAATTGATGTTGTTTACCGTTTCTTTCTGGGTTTTGATTCCCTTCTTGGTTGTTTGTGGGTTTTCTCTTCACTTTGCAGACTTTACATTATATGTCACGTTTCTTTCATATTCGCTCTCTTTTTCCACATGTTGCATCGCTTTATAAACTGTTTGCATCTGTATTATATCTCATTTCGGTTGTTTTTGCTTCTGTGTTGTATTTTAAAACCTGCATATTTGTGTAACTTCTGTTTGTGCAGATTTTGAGAGTCAGGTGCGGGATCTGTTCAGGTCTCAGCTGGACGACTCGAGCTTCTCGTCTGAAGATCTGTCCGCTCTGTTGGAGTCGCCGAACACTCGGGTACGAGATCACTGCAGAATAAAAGAAATGATGCCGAAAGCAACAACAACTTTATGTCAAATGGGGAAACATTTAAGCATTCTGAAAAGGTGGAGAAATAAAACAAAGCTTTCATGATTTGGTACATTCAGAACAAACATAATGACAATATACAGAATAGTATTCAGTGTGTTCCTGAAGTGACCCGCTCTCTCAGCTGATCACATCGACCTCATCGATCTGTTGACGCTCTTATTCTGAAAAACCTCTCTCACTGCCTGAGAGAAAGCACTCTGCACGCTCTTATTCTGAAAAACCTCTCTCACAGCCTGAGAGAAAGCACTCTGCACGCTCTTATTCTGAAAAACCTCTCTCACAGCCTGAGAGAAAGCACTCTGCACGCTCTTATTCTGAAAAAACCTCTCTCACTGCCTGAGAGAAAGCACTCTGCACGCTCTTATTCTGAAAAACCTCTCTCACAGCCTGAGAGAAAGCACTCTGCACGCTCTTATTCTGAAAAACCTCTCTCACAGCCTGAGAGAAAGCACTCTGCATGCTCTTATTCTGAAAAACCTCTCTCACAGCCTGAGAGAAAGCACTCTGCACGCTCTTATTCTGAAAAATAATCTCTAACAGCCTGATTTGTTTTTTAAAGAAATGTAAAATAACTTTATCGATTAAATTAATTGTGTGTGTGTGTGTGTGTGTGTGTGTGTGTGTGTGTGTGTGTGTGTGTGTGTGTGTGTGTGTGTGTGTGTGTGTGTGTGTGTGTAGCTGTGTAGGTCGGACTCAGAGGATCTGGAGGAGATGGAGAGGCTGAGGAAGGAACACATCGAGGCTCTGAGGGAAATCAAGAGGCTGCAGGTAACACACACACACACACACACACACACACACACACACACACACACACACACACACACACACACACACACTCACACTCACACTCACACTCACACTCACACTCACACACACGCACACGCACACACACACGCAATTTTGTCTCACAATTTACAAAATGCTGACTTCCCGTTGACTTCCTGTTTCTGAACTCCCGTTGACTTTCGGGCCGTTTCTCAATGTGGAGTACGCTTGCTTGGTAGCACATGTCTTCCGAGTCACTTGCTTCAGAAGCGAGTCAAGAATACTTCCTGGCATTCGGAAAACAAAGAGTGGAACAGGCTAGCAAGTGTGCAGGTGTGCGTCATATGAGAGGCCCCGCCTCTTACATCTTCCGTCACAGATTTGGGGAAATTGGTCCGTGCGCAAAGCATTGTGGGGATTTTAAGGACGCGAAGTCTACCCATGTGCAGCCTCGAAATTTCCCCCAAACCAAGGACACGGCCTCGGTGGAATTCCAAGTATGCTGGAGATTGGAACAGTCCTTCGGCGGCACTCGATGACGTAGCATCCTTGAAATATTGCCTTGGAAGCCAATATCCTCGCGATTGAGAAACGGCCCCTGTCTATGATCTCCCGTTGACTTCCTGTTTCTCTACTCCCGTTGACTTCCTGTTTCTGACTTCCTGTTGACTTCCTGTTTCTCTACTCCCGTTGACTTCCTGTTTCTGACTTCCTGTTTCTGACTTCCTGTTGACTGCCCTCTAAAGGAGCAGATGGGCGAGTCTCACAGAGTTCACCATCAGACGGAGGAGGAGCTCAGTAAAGTCAAACAGGTGAGGCTGAAAATAAACCAGAACATGTGGAGTTTAAAAACAGTGTGGGCTTCTGAAGCAGGTGAAGCTGCACACACACACACACACACACACACACACACACACACACACACACACACACACACACACACCACACACACACACACACACACACACACACACACACACACACACACACACACACACACACACACACACACACACACACACACACACACACACACACACACACACACACACACACACACAGGCTTTTCTCAGAATTTGACTTTTTTCTCACATTTTGAAATTGTTCTCATGTTTTGACATTTCTCTCAGAATTACATTTTTTATCAGATTTTAACTTTTTCTCGGAATTTGACTTTTTTCACAGAATTTTATATTTTACTATTTATATTTGACTTTTTCTCAAACATTGACTTTTTTCTCAAATGTCTCTCCACAGGAAGTGAAGCTCTGTTTTCTCTCCACAGGAAGTGAAGCTCTGTTTTCTCTCCACAGGAAGTGAAGCTCTGTTTTCTCTCCACAGGAAGTGAAGCTGGTCTCAGAGGAGAGTCGGGCTCTCTGGTCTCGGGTGCAGATGGCGGAGGCGGCTCAGAAGCAGGCCAGAGGAATGGAGATGGACTACGAGGAGGTGATCCACCTTCTGGAGGCCGAGATCGCCGAGCTCAAGACTCTGAGGGCGGTAACAACCAATAAGGTGACAGAGAATTGGGAAATTCTCACTTTTCTCTGTTCGGGCCGGGACACTTGTGCGCTACCCGGAATATTTCTCTCCAACGTGCGTTCCATGAGCAATAAACTGGACCAGCTTATTTGTTGAAATTGGGGTCAATTCCAACAAATAAGGATATCGACGGGACAAACGGTCAAAGTCAACTTTAATGTCAATCTTTCAGTTTGTGTGTACAGACAGAGAGATCGAAATACCGTTTCCCACAATCCAGAATACAAATATATATAAAAATATTTTGCGTTAACGCGTTAACGTGTCCTCGGCCGCCCCGTAGTTTCAGAGCGCATCGAGTTTAAAATACCATCTACAAGCTGATGCTGACAGCCCCGCACCTGCCGCCCGCTTGTGGCAGACCACACTTCCACGCTCACCGGCAGGCCCGGACTGGCCATCGGGAGGACCGGGAGGGAGTGTGTATGTGTGGGGCGGGCGAGGCACACCTTACGTGTTGTTGTTGTTAGCATCTGGTGCTAGCTAGCTGCGCTAACGGATATCAGGAGCTGTTTCAATGAAAACAGAGGAGCGACATTTCGCCGACAACTGCGCCGAGCACTTGACTTGATGCAGGTAGCCAGACAGCACACTCAGCACGGATAGTGCGCGCAACATGATTGCAGCGTCCAGGCAGCTCCCATTCGAGCATATATGCCTTGAGCTGCACATAGCTCCAACGATCCATCACACACACACACACACACACACACACACACACACACACACGCACACACACACACACACACACACACACACACACACACACACACACACACACACACACACACACACACACACACACACACACACACCACACACACACACACACAGAATATTTGTCATTGTTCAAATGATAATAAACAAACATATAAAGCATAGTTGTCCACTCATATGTTGATAAGAGTATTACAAACTTGAAAAATATCCCTCTAAGGTACATTTAGAACAGATACAAAATGTGCGATTAATTTGCGATTAACTATTTTAATCGACTGACAGCCCTAAAAAATATGTATCAAAATATGTATATACACAATCAACAGACATTTATATATATATAAAGTTTATTACCAAATTCAGCCAACTTATAAGGGACTGTGGATAAGTCTTTGTCTTTACTTTATTTGGTTTTTTTAAATCTCCCAATTCATCGTAAAAACTCTTGGAAAATTCACAGAATTATCCAGTTTTTACTTTTATAAATTAGCATAAAAAAATAAGTCATTTTTAATCTAACCAACAAGGATTTCTTTTTTATAGGTAAAACTTCTAGGAGTATTTTTCTGACCCTGCTTCCCCTCCATCTTCATCATCATCATCATCATCATCTTCATCTTCAGTGAATCTTGGTCAGGGTTTTTTTGCTCTGTGTGTTCAGCGACGTCTCCTCTCTCTCCGTCCGGTTCATTTGACAGAAATCTGTCCAGCAGCCTGCAGCTCAGCAGATCTGAAGCTGACAGACGCTAAACACAAAGTGCCGACTCAGGCTTTTCTGACAGTGTCAAAATCATACGAGCACTTCAGCGCTGCACTGCAAACACACTTTGTGAATATATCATGACTTCTTCTCGCTGCATGTTTGAGCAAATCCCTGAAATGTGGATACCTGACATTCTTACCAATGATTTGAAAGTGTTTGCACTTAAATCTCAATCAATATGAACCCATTTGGCCTGATGGGGGCACTGTAATCAAAACTCAAAATGTTGCATTTTAGTTCCAAACATTGGAATGGTCCCGGTGCAAATTTGGCCATAAATCTTCTAATCTGTCTAATAATTAAGATGTTTGATGTTAAAGGTGGGGTAGGTAAGTTTGAGAAACCGGCTCGAGTGCGCTAGAATTTGAAAATACACAACCGGAGGAAAATCTGCCACTTCCTCACAGAGCCCCTCCTCCAACACACACGAACGCGCACATGACCAATGAGGGCACGAGATAAGTTTGTGCACAGATGGAAGGCTGACAGGCAGGTAGGCCATCCAGTTATTTTAGCCGGGCCGGCTCAGATGATTGGTCGTGCTTTTTACAGTACTACAGCTTCCTCAGATGATATTTCTTTATGGATTTTTTGTCAAAGCACTTCAGATATTCATTGCTATCGGGATGTTAAGAGCATTCCATGGAATATAACAACAAGTGTATCTCCAGCCGGTTTCTCAAACGTACCTACCCCACCTTTAACCGATAGTAGGCGAATGAATCACAGAAGTTTTGGACATAAATTAATGAGCGTCCTTTAAATTGTCCTAAAACCTGTTGTTTATGTTTAACACTGGTGTAGGAATGATACAACTGTACACTAACAGTGCAGTACAATAGCTGTAGAAAGAAAGATGGACAATAATTAATGTGAGAAACTGTACGGTATTGTAACATTACAAAAACACAGTTACCCCAATCAGCCTGATGGGGGCGCTGTAATTATAAATATAAATGTTGAACTTTGAAGAGGAATGACTCCAACGCTTTCTCTTACTCTTTAGGCCTTTCATCGGAAAACGTACAAGTCCACAAATGCTTTTATTATGCAAATCAAGACTTCATCATTTGATTTGTCAAACACTTTTAATTACCAATATTGTCCTGATATATTTTATAACAATGTGAATAACACTTGTGTAAAATCATTTTTGAAATCTCCCAATGGGGTGCCAGTTTCAAACATGGGAGTGGTTGATGTAAATGTTTAATTAAGCTTCTGGAAACTGTTCCCAAAAAGATGTAGACATTTACCGATAGTTGGGTAACGGATCACAGAAGTTGGGGTAATACATTAATACTGTTGTGGGATAGTAGTAAAGAGAGGTCGTGCGTTTCAGTATAAACGTTGTTTTTTTGGTTTCACCCCCAGGACGATGCGGAGGATCTGAAGAAGAAAGTGGCCGTCCTCGAGTGTCAACTACGGAAGAGCGAAGCGACCAAAAAGGGCTTTGAGCTGTCGACGGGGAAACTGCTGAGCTTCGTGGAGGTTAAGAAGAGTCAAACTTTTATTCTTTATTTATCTTAAAGTCATTAAATCTACGTCAGGCATCAGTTCTGTGTTTCACAGCGTGATCAATATTCAGTTATTAATCAGACTCTCTCTTGTTCTGCAGAACATTCACGAGTTCCTGCTGGAGAGTCAAGCACCAATCAAGAGCTTCAGGTAGTGTGTGTGTGTGTGTGTGTGTGTGTGAGTGTGTGTGTGTGTGTGTGTGTGTGTGTGTGTGTGTGTGTGTGTGTGTGTGTGTGTGTGTGTGTGTGTGTGTGTGTGTGTGTGTGTGTGTGTGTGTGTGTGTGTGTGTGTGTGTGTGTGTGTGTGTGTGTGTGTGTGTGGTGTGTGTGTGTGTGTGTGTGTGTGTGTGTGTGTGTGTGTGTGTGTGTGTGTGTGTGTGTGTGTGTGTCTGAACTGGGCTAATGGGCTCAGCTCTCTGCAGGATCTCTCATTATGTGACTCCAACTGTGGTGTCTGGGTCACACACACACACACACACACACACACACACACACACACACACACACACACACACACACACACACACACACACAGGTAGGTCACAGTTAGCTCTCGTTAGCGGCTTTCCTGACTTAAAGACACCACAGAAGAAGAACTTTTACCCTCCTTTACTTCAGTGTCTTTTATTATCTTTCCTTATCACACGGCATTGGTTCAATACTCGATGCTGATTGGTCTATTTCGAATATTCTGCGAGGGAGAGAGGAAGATAGACGGGAAGTAAACACTCAAGGGAACAGCAGAAGAAGTCAGACGGGAAATATAAAGTGTTAAATGTGATGTAAACAGGATGTCCCTCTATAGTTGGGATGTAGGTGTGATTGAAGGCTCCACCTGCAGCTCCTCACCTGCAGCTCCTCACCTGTCCGGCTCTTCCTCTGCAGCTCCGGAGACTTTACCCTCCTTTACTAACAAACACTAAGAAGAAGACAGACAGGAAATGAAACTATGAAATGAATCTTGATGTAAAGCAGGATTTCCCTCTATAGACGTGAGGATGCAGTTTAGATGCTTGGTGTTGGGGAAACACTGAATGTCCTCTTCCAACATGAGAGTAACATGAAAGGTATCCCAACTGTAGCTGTGAACATGACAGGATGTCTGATTACCTAGAAGAGCATCAGGACTGTTTGAGGCATATGATAGCTATGTGATGAACATGATGATTCAGCCTCTATGGAGATAGACATATGACAAGCATGCTCATTTCTGACGTGGAGCTAATCTGAAGTAAACATTGAATACTGCTTTCTATTCCTCCATCTTGTGACTGTGTAACTCCCTCTCTTGGATATCAGCATGTGAAGGACACTGTTCAGGAACTAGTTGATGCTCTGTATGTGATGACTCCTTCCATTCTGGAGAGGATCACAGATACATGGATCCTGAGATTGAAGCTCAAGCCGGAGACCAGGGAGATTGTTCTAACACTTGGGATGTATGTTAGGTATCTGATCCACCTGCACATGTGTAGTTCCTCACCTGTCCGTCTCTTCCTCCGCAGCTCCGGAGATGTTAAAGTTGGTGTGTCCTCCCCAGGCCCCGCCCCCCGACACAGAAAGACCCCCTGGACGGCGCTGACTCTCGCTCAGGAGGCCAAAGACCTGGGCAGGACAGTGAGGTCCCTGCTGGAGGCGGACTGTAAGTGATCTGAACCCAGCATGCCCTCCTTCCTCTGCATGACATCACCCCTCCTCTCTGGAAGGAACCTGCCTCTGAGGTTAACTGTCCTCCCCGTTGCAGTGCTGACCTTCTAGAGGATTCTACAACGTCTGCAAGACAACAACAACAACAACAACAACAACCGTGAACCCAAACTGTCCCTGAACCTCCTCAGACCCTCACTTCAAAGTCAACTTTATTGTCAATCTTTCAGTTTGTGTGTACAGACGGAGAGAAATACCGTTTAAGATTCAAAAGATTCAAAGGTTTTATTGTCCTATCAGCTGCAGTGTAGAAGAAGAGGGCGGAGCCACCGGGGATAACAACCAATAAGGTGACAGAGAAGTGGGGAATTCGGGTCAATTCCAACCAAAAAAAGTGACTGTCATTGATCCATGACTCACTGTCATTGATCTATGACTCACTGTCATTGATCCATGACTCACTGTCATTGATCCATGACTCACTGTCATTGATCCATGCACTCCTTATTGGCGAGCACAGCAGAGGGTTTCTTTAGCATTGCAGATCTCTCTGAAAGCAGAGCGTGAAACGAGCAGCTTTTCATGCGTTTCTACAGGTCACTACTCTGTAAGGAAATGGACTTTATTAACATTTAGATTTTGACCAATTGACGTTTGTTTGTACAGGATAACAGACTAACTGGCCTTCTGTTCATCTGGAGATTTACGGACTATTTGGGTTTTGGAAACACCTGCAGAACCACATATTTTGAAAAGACATGCAGTTAAAGCTGTGCTGCAGAGCTTCCACGTCACACAGCGTTAGGTTTTCTTTAGCATTTAGAGATGGTGCCAAATGAAAAAGTGAGTGATGGACAGACTCCCAGAGCGTTGGTTCTTCAGACTTTACCCATCCTCTGTCTCTTTAGCATCAACCAATACCTTCCTTTAACGAGCAATAAAAGGGAATATCAAACTTCATATACAGTCGGCATTACCTGTAGCTAAGAGTGAGTTAGAAAACACGACCTGTAGCTGCACGTCTCTCTGTTACTAGCTTTATGTGTGAGAGGCTGGATGCTGTAGATTAGACAACGAATCATCGAGCATCACAAGAGGAGGAACCCCAAAAGAAACTCTTACATCCAAATACGAGGGGTGAACAGAAACGATAAAGGAGTCACAATATCCGTCCGGGAATATCGTAAAGCAGCGATGAATAAAGGACAGCCTGATTGGACGCTGTAGATGCTTTCATCATGTTTGCTGTGTGTCCTCTGTCTTTGTCTGAGTAAATGTTCTGGAACAAACTGTCTGCACATCATGGGTTCTTCTTTGTTAAGAGAAAACGTTTCAGTCATTCTTATTTTGGTTCAGCCACAGCTTAAGATTGAGAGAAGTCGAGGCAAACAGAAGCACCAGATATAGTCTAAAGAGCTTTGTCACAAGTTAGATGTGAAATATCATTCGTGCAATGTTGTGAAAAAACAGCTCAGAGTTTCCAGCGTTTGGATGTCAATGCATCCTCGAACATATCAAGCCTGTTTTTACTCATGTGACACGACAACATGGTGACTGAGATGAATGCACTTTTTGTTTTAACATATTAATATTAAAGTGGGAATCTGGGCAACGTCCCCCAAAGAGATGTAGTGTGTCCAATACTTTAACCTGTTACGCACCATCTACGGTACCAGGCGGATAAACGCGTCATTTGCAGGAAACAACGTCTAAGGAATCTTAATATTTGATAAAACTATGAATGTTTTATATCCATGTAACGGGAAGAAACTCAGCTAACTGATCTTTTTAATTTTTTTTTCCAAAAAAAAACCCACAATGCTAGCACTCAGCCTCTGAATTAGCCACGAGCGAAAAAATGTAACCTAAAACGGCACTTAAACTCACTCATAACTCCCTTATTACTTATCCTAGATGCACAGCCAACCACTCGTTTTTGGTGTCCTGGAGACACTGAATCTAACGGTGCCCTCCTCAACACTCAGCTAGGTAGCTAGAAACGCTAACATGGTTTACCTTGGTCAAAACTGGTCTTCAATGGCATTAAAACGATAAAAAAAACGATGCTGCAGTTAATCCATAGGTTCATCCAATGTGTCTGTGTCCTCTTTGAAATGATTTCTGATAATCCATAAGCAATAAAACTGCTTTTTCGTTTCCAAATGTCAGAGCGAGAGATCGCTCCACTCTGCTGCACATTTACATGCACGCAGCCCCCACCTCTTCTCTTCACAATGAGTGTGTGTGGGGGCCTCCCCCTTCGATTCTATTGGCTCTAACGGTCAGAAAGAGGTGTCAACCATCAAAATCGAGCAAGGGGGGCCAGAGATATGGAAAAAAAAAACATTTTCACCCAAATCACCTCAGAGGTGGAGTGGTTTTGGCTAAACCTCTCTAAAAAGGTAAAATGTCACTTGTTTTGCATCAATCTTGATACAGGGTACTTATTATATGTTGTACTTTGGATTCCTAAAGCTTTTAGTCTACTAACCCATCATCCAAGGGTAGTTTTCACTATCTGTAAAAAATAATTTTTGGACGGACACTATAATTTACAGTTTTTTACTATGTAAAATCTGAATTTTCTTTAAAATAAAAAACATCTATATTGATTCTGACACTTCTACATCCAACTCACAGGTGTATCATTACTTTGATAAAAGAAATTATTCATATAACCCTTTTAGAAGTTAAGTTGTAGTCATTTGTTTTGGGCATGTCATTTTCGAGCCTGAAACATGAAAAACAGGCTTGGTGCTTAACAGGTTAAGATTCTTGCTTCAAACCATTGCAACCGTTGCTTCTGAGGTTGCATTCAGACACTACCTTTTCCAGAGAGTCAGTAGTTTCTGCACATCAACAGCATTAAAAAAGGCAGTTTTTGTTCCAAGACTGTTATTAATGTAATAATGATAATAGAGAGATTATGGGTAAAAGTTCAAATATGTATAATAGTCTCATATTAAAGGGAACATCTTTGGGTTTCATAGGGACACAACAAGACATTTAAAGACATCATGTTGGGCTTTGAAAGACTGGGATGGACATTTTTTTAAATGCAAAACCGCTGGCGACAGAAAAGCAGAAATATGGGGCATGACTTTCTGTTACTCTGTTTTATAAATATCAGATATATTAAATGAAGGCAGGATGTGAGCGTCGCTCCATAATCAACGGCTGAGATTTAGGAGACGTCCTCCTTCACTCTCTGTGTGTGTGTGTGTGTGTGTGTGTGTGTGTGTGTGTGTGTGTGTGTGTGTGTGTGTGTGTGTGTGTGCGCGTGTGTGTGTGTGCGTGCGTGTGTGTGTGCGTGCGTGTGTGTGTGTGTTTGTTCTTTACAATCACCTATAACTGGTTCTCATAACAGTCCTTGTTTCCTGGAGACGTGCTTTGTCTTCTGCACACACACACACACACACACACACACACACACACACACACACACACACACACACACACACACACACACACACACACACACATATTTGTATAGTAAAATATAATAATTTAATAACTAGGTGGCAAAAATAAGGAAGGAATGAAAATAAATAATAATGAAAATAATAATAATCTATTTTTTCTTTCTCTATGAACTCTCCAACCTGTTTCCTTCTGATTCATTCATTCATCCTTCACAATAAAAGCCTCTGATTCATCCTTCACAATAAAAGCCTCTGAGTTTATATTTCACATTGAATGACTCTTCGCTCATTACATTTAGAAATAAGTGAGCGCTGAACGTCCAGAGACAGATTCTGTGTTTCTGCTGGAGATAGAAATACACCTGAAAACAGATTCATCTTTATTTATCTTCAAGATAAATGAGAAGTCGGAGTTCGTTTTAATTACAGAGCATTTTATTTGCAGAACTGGGGAGATTACTAATAAAACGTGTTGTGTTTAAAGCACTCAGATATGCAACAAGATGTGCTTCATATACACGCACAAATATATATATGTTTACCCTTTTTGCTAAAAGAATATATACCCACTAAGCTGTTAAAATGATTTATGTGAATTATTATTACATTCATTTTCCCGTTTACTTGCAGCCTTCAAATCGTAGCTTTAGAAACATATAAACGACCCACTCAAAAGGTTTTAAAAGCTGTTAAAATGTTTGCATAAAGACTTTTTATTGCATTATTGGCTCCACATTTTGAAAGAAATCTCAGTTATAACCTTATTATTATATTATACAGTGCTAAAGTACTGTTTGTGTGGACGTTAAGGGGCGACTGAGAAGAGGTTTCTGCATCATTAGGTACCAATGTTAAAATATTTGAGGGAATATTACATAGCGTGTGAATGTGTGTTGATGACTCTCAGAAGGAGCTGAGGTGAAAACCTTGAAGCTAAATAAGGACGACACGACGGAAACTCCAGCTGAGAGCCAGCGTGTGTGTGTGTGTGTGTGTGTGTGTGTGTGTGTGTGTGCGTGCGTGTGTGTGTGTGTGTGTGTGTGTGTGTGTGCGTGCGTGCGTGTGTGTGTGTGCGTGTGTGTGTGTGTGTGTGCGTGTGTGTGTGTGTGTGTGTGTGCGTGTGTGTGTGTGTGTGTGTGTGTGTGTGTGTGTGTGTGTGTGTGTGTGTGTGTGTGTGTGTGTGTGTGTGTGTGCAGGGCCGTATCCAGGATTTCCTAAATACCGAGGTCCAAACATGCTAGGGGGGTTCGAGGGGTACCCCCCCGAGATTTTTGGGATTTTCATGATCTAGTTAGGAGCTTTTTAAGTCCTGTGGGGGGTTACAAATTGGATAATATATTGATTTCAAACCATGTCAGTGGGCTGCAGCATATATTATTTTTGAAAGTGTAATGCATAAGAATCAGTTGTTACTATGAATGATCTGGACATGCAGAAGAGGCTCACAACACATTGTCAACATTCATTTTCCTTGTCTCTCTCCTTTCCATAACCTGCCCCCTCTCTTCCATCTTCATTACTCTCTCTGTCTTCTTCCTGTTCATTACTCTCTCTGTCCTCTACTCTTTCTCTTTGTTCAATCTCTCCCTCGTTGTTCACTTTTTGCTCCTCCTCACTTTTTGCTCCTCCTCACTTTTTGCTCCTCCTCACTTTCTGCTCCTCCTCACTTTCTGCTCCTCCTCACTTGTCGCTCCTCCTCACTTTCTGCTCCTCCTCACTTGTCGCTCCTCCTCACTTTCTGCTCCTCCTCACTTTCTGCTCCTCCTCACTTGTCGCTCCTCCTCACTTTCTGCTCCTCCTCACTTGTCGCTCCTCCTCACTTTCTGCTCCTCCTCACTTGTCGCTCCTCCTCACTTTCTGCTCCTCCTCACTTGTCGCTCCTCCTCACTTTCTGCTCCTCCTCACTTGTCGCTCCTCCTCACTTTCTGCTCCTCCTCACTTGTCGCTCCTCCTCACTTTCTGCTCCTCCTCACTTGTCGCTCCTCCTCACTTTCTGCTCCTCCTCACTTTCTGCTCCTCCTCACTTGTCGCTCCTCCTCACTTTCTGCTCCTCCTCACTTGTCGCTCCTGCCAGTGAATTAAAAGCAATTCAGCAATTTAGTTCATTTCACTTGTTTGTTTGCATTATTTTTTAATTTAAATCTGTTTTGTTTGATTCTCAAAAGAGAACAAAGATGTAAGCAAATGGTGTTTTATACAATTGCATGTTATTATGACATCATAACTGCAATAGATGTATGTTGTTTTAAAAGTATGCCTATTGTCTATTTTGTAAATTAAGACTATTGTTATAGATAGATGGATAGATAGATAGATAGATAGATAGATAGATAGATAGATGGATGGATGGATGGATGGATGGATAGATAGATGGATGGATGGATGGATGGATGGATGGATGGATGGATGGATGGATGGATGGATGGATGGATGGATGATGGATGGATAGAGATGGATAGATGGATGGATGAGATGGATGGATGGATGGATGGATGGATGGATGGATGGATGGATGGATGGATGGATGGATGGATGGATGGATGGATGGATGGATGGATGGATGGATGGATGGATGGATGGATGGATGGATGGATGGATGGATGGATGGATGGATGGATGGATGGATGGATGGATGGATAGATAGATAGATAGATAGATAGATAGATAGATAGATAGATAGATAGATAGATAGATAGATAGATAGATAGATAGATAGATAGATAGATAGATTATTATTATCTAATTATTATTAGATATAGCGCTTGAACTGTCAGATTTGCATACACAGGATTTGATTGGCTGACGCTTCCACCTCAGCTTCAAAAGTTGAGCATTGCTCAACTTTGAATCCTGAAAATCCTGAAAATCTCCGCTCTGCTTCCCACAATGCAGTTTGGCGAAAAGTGAGGCAAAGTGACGTCACCCCATTCAAAGTGAATGGGCAGTAGTGATGGGAATTCCGGCTCTTCTTGGTGAGCCGGATCATTTGGCTCGGCTCACCAAGAAGAGCCGGCTCTTTCGGCTCCCAAACGGCTCTTCAGTTTACCACATATTATACCTTTTATAATTCAATCAAATGTAGCCCTGTTTTGACTAATGATTTATATGTGTACACATATCACTTAAATTATTCAATACATCCTTTGTACTGAAGTATTCAAAAGTAAAAATTACATGTTTAA